TGTGCTCACCAGAAAGACACAGAGAGACAGAAAGTGAGAAATCACCCCCCAGGGGCGATGGCCACGCCGCAATCCCTTCTCCTCCATTCTCTTTTAGGGATCTTAGGTATGCACGCACATATGCCTGGCGTGAGTTTAAGCCACCGGGTCTGGGACTTGAACTGCAGTCCACTACATGGAAATCCAGCGACATAGCCATTATACCAACTGCTGGTCCCGGGTTTGTTTGTTTTTACAGCACTGGGCATACTCATAGTTTGCATTAATTTTCGGAAACCAAAAAATTTATCTTTTTCACCTTTATTCATGATAGACCTTGTGTATGTGCACATAAGGGGAAGAGAGAGACAGAGACAGAGAGGGATGAGCACTCTATGCAGGGTCTGGTCCTACCATGAGCCCTTCGGTCTCTGGCATATCAGACCCTGGGCACTATGCACGTGCCTGGTGTGTTTATGTAGAGCGGGCTGGGGATTCAAACCAGAGTCACCATCTGGCATCTGGCTTCTACTGAGCAGTGTCTTACTACTGTACTAAGGAAGTGACCCTACGTTTCAAGTCTCATCTTACAAATGATTGATCTTACTGGTCTTTTTCAGATGCGCAAAGAAACCCAAAAGTTAAGAGAATTTGAAGAAGGGCTGGTTAGCCAATACAAATTTTATCTGGAAAATCTGGAGCAAATGGTTAAAGGTATATTAAACGTATTTTAAAGTTTGCAGCGTACTGAGCCTTGATCCCAAAGGTGAATTCTCTGTTCCGTGTTATGTAGTGAGAGGCAGGTGTAGCACACGGGCAGGAGCAGCATCTGAAGTCAGAATTTCTGGGTGAAAATCCTGGCTCCTTCACTCATTGCCTATGTGATGGGCAAATTACTGAATTTTTCTGAGCCTCAGTTTTTCTGCCTATAAAAGGGAAATAAAAATGGAATTTAGCTCACCAAATTATTTTGAGAATTTATAATTGAATTTATTGAAATAAAGAGTTTGAATCTGTGCCTGATGGATATTCGGCACTCTCGGCTATTAGTATTAGTGGTACTGTTGCTGCAGTCCATTACTTAGAGAGTGGCGTGCCGAATTTGTGAACAGTTGGGGTTTATTTTGCTGGGGTTTATTTGGAGACTACTGTAGTCAAGGAGAAGGACAACTTGAAATGGACGAGTCCTTGAAAATGAACATACAGGTCAGTTACTCCAGACAATAGACTCTTCTGTTGACTCCTCTTTCTTCAGAAAAGAACGGGTGGAGAAAACATTGGGGCATGAAGGGAGGAGTCCCTTGACCAGGCATGTGCTTCTGTTTGACCTGGTTGGGCTCCTTAGGCCTGGGCCTGAGGATCGCCCAGTGGCTGTCAGCTGGAGCAGGACTCATGACTCTGGCACAGCTAGGGCATGCAGGTGGTGGATTATGATGGGTGGGGTGGGGGCATGGGTATTGGCATCCCTCGGAACCTGTTTACCAACACTTGTCTCCCAGTGATAGGGTGTGGGAACTTTGCGTAAACTCGCACTGTCTAGTAGAAATGGAATATATGAGTTGCATGTCATTTTAAAAAGTCACACACACACACAAAATGTGATATTCATTTTAATAGTAAAAAATATATATCCGAATTATTTCAACATGTAGTCCGTTTTAAAAATTAATGAGATGTCTTACCTTCTGCTACCCCCCTTTTTTTTCTAAGTTCAAAATTTAGTGTGTATTTTCCAATTACAGCATTATCTTAATTGTGACTAGCCACATTTTAAATGCTTAGTTGTCACCCATGTGGCTAGTTGCCTCCGTTGGACAAAATAGGTCAAGACCTTTTCTAAGCAGAGTGAATCATTGTGAAGTCTTTTTTTTGTTTGTTTGTTTTTATTTTTTGTAAAATGTATATTTACTGTAAAAAGAAAGCTAAATTAATATTTGATCATTGAATGAAGTGAGTAACTAGTTATCTTTTGATTAGATTGGAAGCAAAGGAAGCTGAAGAAAAGTAATGTAGTTTCTTTAAAGGCGTACAAAGGTCTGGCAGAAGTGGCCGTGAAGAGCCTGTGTGAGCTGTTGGTGGCACTGCCTCATTTTAACTTTCACAACAACATCATCGTATTGATTGTCCCTCTCATGAATGACGTGTCAAAATCAGTGAGTTGCTCTAAATGATTATTGCTGTTATCAGCAGAAATTTTTACATCATTTGATTTTCTCTTATATGAAATTCTTTGCTATTATTTATTGGTAAAATAGTACCGAATTATTAAGAACATAATGTGAACAGGGTTTGTGGTTCTCAGCAAATGGAGCCAGGCCCTGCAGTGAACATCAGACAGTTGGCCTCTGTGGTGGTGGGAGAGTGTTGCTCCTGGCACCCAGTGGGTAAGGCCAGGGGGCTTTGGAACATCCTACAGCGCACAGAGTGGCTCCCCCACTCCTGGGAACCAGTTACCTGGCCTGAAATAGTAGTGCCGAGGCTGAGAAACACTGGGTTACTGTGACGTTTTATTTTTCAGGTGTCAGAAATGTGTTGTGAGGCAGTGAAGAAGCTCTTTAAACAAGATAAATTAGGCCAAGCTTCTCTTGGTGTAATTAAAGTGATTTCTGGTTTTGTGAAGGGCAGAAATTATGAAGTTAGGCCAGAGGTAAGTAAGCCTTTTATTCCCCTGCATTTATGGATTTTTAAATTACCAAGTTCATTTTCAGTTGTCATGAGTAATTTGTTCTTCATAGAAATATATACTGTAAAAATATCAGACTCCTGGGATGAGCAGATGGCGTAACGTTTATATCGTTGTCTCCCACGGAGTAGCAGTTCAGACCTGAGGCTTAAAACTCACACCAGGTGCATGTGTCTGCGTGCCCAAAATCCTGACAGGAGAAGGGATTGTGGAGTGGCCATCCCCTTAGGGTAATTTCTCGCTATCTCTGGCGAGTGTACATGCCCTATAGCAAAAAAATCTGTCTTTTAGAAAGAAGCAAAAAGCAAAATCAAACTCCTTTAAATGTAAGCACTGTTGACAGTCTAGATATATCCCTTGAACCATGGCACATTAGCACTTGGCTCCAACATGTTGTCACCATTCCAACCAGAAATTGGCACAAATGCTACTATGTCGGGATTGTAGCCAGTTTTCTTAATGTAGGTGCTGACTTCTTTAACAATTTCCTTGTATCTCTTCTGACTGTAGAGTGGCTCAGTAGAATCCATTTTGTTGACACCAACAATTAGTTATTTCACACCCAGTGTGTAAGCCAGAAGGGCATGCTCACAGGTCTGCCCGTTCTTGGAGAACCAGCCTCAAATTCATCAACACCAGCAGTAATTAGCAGGACAGCACAGTCAGCTGAGATGTGCCTGTCAATCATGTTTTTGATAAAGTTTCCGTGTCGTGGGGCCCCGATGATAGTCACATAATACTTGCTGGTCTCAAATTTCCACAGGGAGACATCCATGGTGATACCACGCTCACGTTCAGCTTTCAGTTTATCCAAGACCCAGGCGTATTTGAAAGAGCCCCTTCCCATCTCAGCAACCTCCTTCTCAAATTTTTTGATGGTTCTTTTGTCGATCCCACCACATTTGTAGATTAGATGGCCAGTAATGGCAGACATGCCGGAATCTACATGTCCAGTGACAACGATGTTGATATGAATCTTCTCCTTTCCCATTTTGGCTTTGATTTAGCGGTGGTTTTCACGACACCTGTGTTCTAGCAGCAAACCTGTTGCGAAAAAGCTTGTATTTTATTTTCTGATTTTAGTCTTTTGCCATCAAATCCCCTTTATTTCTTAAAACTGGTGGTTTTAGTTGAACCACTAAAAGTATAAATATTGGGCTTTAGTAAGAGAAGGTATTTATAATCTTTACTCAGGGTTTTAGAGTGATTAGATAATGACTTGAACATGAAACTAGGCCATAGTGAATACTTTCATTTTAGTGATGCTAAAAATATAAAGTAATATCTTTAATTTGGAGTTATTTTTCACTGCTGGGAGATATTTTATAAGCATAGAGTACCTACTAAATGGTCAAAAACCCGATCATTGAAATGATTTCAGGTTCACTCTTTATGCTTTTAGTTATTCCTTGTTTTCGTTCTGTGCCCTTGTTTTCGTTCTGTGCTTTTAGCCCTGTAATCTGAGATACTCAGCTTTCTTCTACATTTCATCAAAATAATACATACAGATGTATACTTCTCAGGTTTTTGTTCCAGAAATGCTACTGGGACCTTAGGAGGTCAATAGAGTGTTTTTTTGGTTTTGTTTTTGTTTTCTTTCCCCCCCTCCCAGAGAAAGTGTAGGATTTAAAACCTCTTTGATTCTTGGAGTTTGAATATGAGAATGACTACCCAAATTAGTTTCTGAATTTTTTGAATGGCTTAAGGCAGTAGTTCTTTTGGTCCCTGGACTAGCATCCGTGCAAGTTAGAAATACAAATTCTGGGGCTCCACTCGGACTTAAGGAATCAGAAACTCTGGGGATGGAGCCCAGCAATTGGTTTCAGCAAGCCTTCTGGGTGATTCTGATGCTTGCTAAAATTAGAGATCAATTGGCTTAAAGGAAAGCACATTGTCTTCACATTAATAAAATTAGTCTTTATGTTACTTTTTAATCTTATTTTTTAAGAGAGATTTTGCGATAGGGTGTGTGTGTTTGCTAGAGAGACAGAGATAGTGAGACAGAAAGCAAGAATTCACCCTCCGGGGGATGGCCACACCACAATTCTTTCTCCTCCATTCTTGTCTTGGCATGCACACGTGCCCGGCATGAGTTTTTGTAAAATATTTATTTATTTAATTCCATTCGTTGTTATTATTTTTCAGTTTGACCAGAGAGAGACAGGAGAGAGAGAGACAGAAAAGGAAAGGGAAAATGAGAAATCAGGCCATCAGGTCCGGGACTCAACTGCAGTCGGCCATGCAGGAGTCCACCTCCTTTAACCACCATGCCATCTGCTGGCCACTGAGTTTTAAACCACCTGTTCTAGGACTTGAACTGCAGTTGACCATGTCGGAATCTAGTGACATAACCTTTACACCGTCTACTTGCTGATCCCTTTATTTATTTATTTATTTATTTAACACTTAATCACATGTTTCTACAGTGTACATTTTTTTCCCCAGCACAAACACCATGCATGTCAGTAAAGACAAAGATATTAGTATATACATTATCATCAGCAGATAGCTTCTCAGTTTTTTGTCAGTTAATCATACTTGTTTTTTCCTTTTCCTTTTCCATCCTTCCCTTCAATACTGAACTTTTTCCTTTTTGCATTTTATTGATTCACAGTCTTAAACTAAAAATATGGACAAAGCTAGAATTTAGTGACAAGTGCACTGTCATTTTCTTCTGAAACATTTTTTCTCTCTCCATTCCTCCTTTTACTAAAGAATGGTCTAAACTAACTTGTTTGCAAAAAAAAAATTAGGTTAATCTCTCATTTTGGTCTGTTATTTGCAGCCCATAAGAATTCCATTTCTGATACAAGGCAACAGATACTATTTGTATTATTGACCTTATGCACATAAAAATTCTGCCACAAAATAAGAATGCTCACAAATATTGGCCAATTGGGAACCAGCAGTTAGCGTAATGGCTATGTCGCTGGACTCCCACGTAGTCGACCGCGGTTCACGTCCTGGACCCGGTGGCTTAAAACTCACGCCGGGCGCGTGTGCGTGTGTGCCCAAGATCCCGAGAGGAGATTGGAGGAGGAGAAGGGATTGCGGCGTGACCATCCCCCCTGGGGGGTGATTTCTCGCTTTCTGTCTCTATGTCTCTCTCTGTCTATCTGGCGAGCGCACGCGCCCTACAGTGAAAAATCTCTCAAAAAAAAAAAAATATTGGCCAACTGAAACTAGGTCAGGAATGGAGAAAAGTTTTTCAATTAAAAATTTTTTTTTTAACAAATTGCTGAACCTATCAACTCAAAAGAAAACCAAAATCCTTAAATCTGGAAGACAAATCATAGAAGAAAATCAGTAATGTTTTAGACAAAGTCATAGAATTATATTCCACCAGTTCAGTCTTATTTAATCTCTCTCTTATTGAAATTGCAGTGTTACTGTGATCTTTCCATTTAAATCCTGGAAGTTAACATTCATCATCATCATTGATATTTCCAAACTTGTCTCTACCATTAAGTTGGCCTTTTTCTTGGTCATTTTTTGTTCTCTTATTTCTGTTTATACCAGTTTTCCTGGCATAGCACTCCCTTCAGAACGTCTCAAAGCACTGGTCTGGTGTTGGTAAATTCTTTCAGGATTTGTTTGTTTTTCTCTAACTGTTCCATTTGATTCCTTTTTATGTTGTGTTTTCCTCTTTCTGATCATGTACGAACTTCCTCACCTCCTGGAACTCCTCTCTTCTCCTGCATCTTCTGGAGTTTGTTGGTCTCTCTTCCATCTCTGTTAGCTTTGTCACTATGAATATTCTACATTTCTTTATCTGACATTTCCCTGGGATCATTTGTACTGTCTATGTATGATGAAGGCCTATTCTTTTCCCTTGGGGGAGAAATATTTTCTTGGTTTCCCATATTTCTTGTGCCTCTGCAGTGGTTTCTGGTCATCTGATGGATTATGCGTTACTTTCTCCTTTCTCTGTTTCACTAGATACTGGACTAGAAGGAGAAGTTTGGGGCAGACAGAGGCTTTTCACTTAAAGAGCCAGGGCTGGGCCCCCCTCAGATGCACATGGACTCTCTGCTTCTCTAGGCACTGGGCCGGAGGGAGAGGGTTCCTTTTTGTTATTTTTTACTAGGAGAAAAGAGACCAATGCTAATAACTCTGTTAACTGTAAAACTGAAGCAGGTTTGGCAAATTAAAGCTGGTTTAGAAATGCGCCAGTTTATCTCTCTTATACTGGTCTAGACCTTTTTCTGGCCATGAAAATTCATGTTTTGAATTCTGTCCAGATAATGTGTTCTCTCTTCTTTAGTCTATTAAATTGTGAGGAAAATTTTGTGTATTTAGCTAAATTTTATGTATTTGTGTCTTTTCGTAGACACAAATTACTGAATGTGTTTAGCAAAAGAATAATACAGCTTTGTGCAAGATGTGATAAAGATATTTCAAAGTTTTCTTGCCCGAATGAATGAAATAACATTTTTAACTGCTTATTTTTCTTATGTGAAAATTTTGAGGGAAGTATAAACATTAAGCTTTGATGTTTCTGTTTTCTCAATATTAGATGTTAAAAACATTTTTGTGCCTAAGAAT